CCCGCCCCCCGGCTGAGCCGCCCCCCGCGGTCCCGCAGGCCGCCATGGAGCCCACGGCCTCGCAGGTGTTTTGCGGGAGGGTGCTGGGCATGGTCAACGCCGAGGACGTCAACGCCATCATCCTGGCCCAGAAAAACATGTGAGTCCCGAGGGAAGCAGCCCGTGGGGACCCCGGTACCGGCACCGGGAGCCTCCCGGGATGTTTGCTGAGCTCCGTCTGCTTCTCCTGAGCAGGCTGGATCGATTTGAGAAGACCAACGAGATGCTCCTCAACTTCAACAACCTCTCCAGCGTCCGCATGCAGCAGATGAACGAGCGGTTCCTCCACCACACCAAGACGCTGGTGGAAATGAAGAAGGATCTGGACAGCATCTTCCGGAGGATCCGGTGGGCAACGGGGATGGGAACGTCGCTGCTGGTGGGGAGTGGGACAGCGCGGAGAGCGCAGGGTGGCTCGTCAGGGTCTGGGTGGGCTGTGGGGGTGGTAAAGTGGGACACAGGTAGGGTTTGGGATGGTCTCGGAAGTAAAAATAGTTGGAGAGGAGAAAATGTGCTGCTACGTGACACGTGGGGGCAGCTGCAGAGGCCAGAGCTTTGGGATTCCTTGATTCTGCTCCAGCCAGGATGTCTGTGCTCCCTGGGTTATGGAACACGGCACTGGGAGAAAGATCTGATGTGCCGAGAGGGGGTGACAGGAGCGCTGGGGGGGCTGGGAGGGAGCCCCTCGGCCTGAGGGACCCCCCGGGATTCGTTTGTGTTGTCTGTAACACGCCGGAGAGTGGAAGGGGCTGGCTGGGACGCCCCGTCTTCCCCGTGAACTCAGCTGGCTCTCTCCTCCCCCAGGACGCTGAAAGGGAAGCTGGCGAAGCAGTACCCGGAGGCTTTCAGCAGTGAGTGATTCCTTCCGATGCATGGATTTTCCGTCGCTTTTCTTCCCATGCAAAAAGGCCCTTTTCCCAAGAATGTGTGAGGTGGATCTCGCATATTGCGGCTGCCCCATCCCTGGAAGTGTTCAAGGCCAGGTTGGATGAGGCTTTGGGCAACCTGGTGTAGTGGAAGGTGTCCCTGCCCATGGCAGGGGAGTTGGAACTGGATGATCTCTGAGGTCCCTTCCAACCCAAACCATTCCGTGATTCTATGATCTCGGGAGTCAGGAGGAGCTGAGAAATGCCCAGGCACGCGTCAGCACATGGCCGCAGTGCTGAGAGCCTGGAGAGCTTCTGGGTTATATCAAATACGATTCCAAGAAAATACAAGTGGCTGCTAACTGAAGTGGCATCGGATTTCTGTTGATTATTGGTAGAAGCAGGTGAAATTTATAATTAGAGAGGAGCAAATTGTCCTACTGGGGTCCCTCTCACACCCGCTGTCGCCCCAGCAGCGCCTCACCTCGTGTGCCCACAGCAGCAAAACTAAAATTTGCGTCTCCCCTTCCAGACATCCACGAGTCTCCCATCCTGGAAGACGACGACGACTTCGACCCCGTCCCGAAAAGCACCACAACCACCATCGCTACCTCTGAGCAGAGCACGGAGTCCTGCGACACCAGCCCTGACGTCATCTCTCCCACCACCAGCCACGATTTCGAGGATTTATCCCAAGGCCAGTGCGATTCCCCGGCCGTGAACGGACAGAGTCTCACAGATGAAGACATGGCCAACGACCTGGACTAGGCGCGCGGGTCCCTGGAGAACTTTCCGCCTTGTATTTATCTTCGTGTGTTTCTTTTGTTTTTTTTTTTGGGAAGAGGGAAGCGAAGGCTGCGAGAAGAAGGGGGCCCTTCTACCTAGAAGCTGCCCCTGTGGTGTAAACCCCCCGACTCGCCGCGGGGTAAATCAGTAAAACACGGCTCTGAAACGCCTCGTGTCCCGTCTCCTTTGCGCAGGCGGAGGAGCAGCGGAACCCCCTTCGGCGCCGGCCTTGGTGCGGAATTGCTCATTTGGACACGGGTTTTTTTTTTCATAGGAAACGTTGGTTTTG